AAATCCACACAAGAAGTTTATTCGTAGAACCATGTCCCCAGGAAGATAATTGTCTATATAGGTCTACGATATCGTAACGGTATCTCCCGATATTTCGTATTTTGATGATTCTAGCCAAGTTTTTCAATTGAATTGTCTCCAAATCCATACAAGGAGTTCCTTCTGAGTACTTGGCCCCCTGAAGTAGAATTGTCTTTATAGGTCCACGATATCATATAGCCTCCATATAACGATACCTCCCGATATTCGACTGAAAATTATCTACTTTTTTAAGTCGTACAGTACACATATATATTTGGAAACCTTAAAAATAACATGAAAATAATACGTATAATTATATATAATATAGATATAGCTCCCATATACATCTTCAACCGATTTCTGGTTAATTGTGCACCAAATGGCTAACATCTGCCCAAATGAACTGAATTTTGGCAATTCCGACAAAATTCATAATAGAAGTATGTACTTCAAGTTTGGTGGAAAACGGTTCAGATATAGCTTCTATATATATATATATATATATATATATATATATATATATATATATATAAAACTTCTATATATGGGTTTCATCCGATTTTTGTTTTGCGTTCAAATTGGGATATAGCTCTCAAATATATACAAATATCCGATTTCAGGTTTATTGTGTAAAAAATGGCTAATATTAGCCCAAATGGACTGAATTTTGGCAATTTCGACGGAATTCAGTCAAGAAGCAAGTACTTCAAATTAAGTAGAAAATCAGTTCACATACAGCTATAGCTCCCATACATATGTTTCATCCAATTTCATGTTAAAGTCCCTTACATGCGTAATATGCACCCCGCAACAAGGATACGAGTATTTGATAGCGGACTTACAGCTCAAAAATATTTCTGCCAAATTTGATTAAGATCGGTTCCAATTTTTATATACCTTTGATACACATCTTCATCCGATTTTACGGTCATTGTCACTATATATGTAATATCAGCCCAAATTGGATAGATTTTTTCATATTCAACAGAGTTTTTCTATTTGGTAAAACTCGGTCCGTTATCTGTTGCTTCAAAAAAAAATTAATACACTACACCACATAGTGGTAAGGGTATGATGTCTTTGCATTTGTTTGTAACAGGCAAAAGGAAACGAGATAGACCCATAGTTACTTTTGAGGATCTCCATAGAATCACTTAATGAGTTGATTTATGCTTGTCAGTCCGTCTGTCCGTCCGTCCGTCAGTCCGTCGGTCTGTCCATGTGGCCCAAGGACGAACCTTATTGAAATTGGAGATAATCGGTAAAAAAAATACATATTGCTCCCATATATATCTTCGTCCGATTTGCCTTTTATTGTGCACCAAACGTGTAATATCAGCCCGAATAGAATGTAATTTTGCACATACAACCAAATTAGGCCTGAAAATAAGTATGCCAAATTGAATCGAAATCGGTTCATATATAGCTATAGCTCCCATATACATATTGTGCATCCGATTTTTTTATTTTTGTCCTCCGCAGCCGTAATATGCACTCTGTAACAACAATATTTTGGGAAATATATCAAATGCAGCTCAGAAATACCTTTGCTAAATTTTATCGAGATCGGTTCAGATTTGGATATAGCTCCCATATATAACTTCGTCCGATTTACCTTTTATTGTGCCTCAAACGTCGAATATTTGCCCAAATGGGATGGAATTTGGCCCATGCGACCTAATTGAGTCTGGAAGCTAGTATACCAAGTTTGGTGAAGGTCGGTTCAGATATAGCTATAGCTCCCATATATATTTTTCATCCGATTCGTTGTATTTGTTACCCACAGCCATAATATGCACTCCGTAGCAACGATATTCAGGGAAATATATCAAATACAGCTCAGAAATATCTTTGCCAAATTTTATCGAGATCGGTTCAGATTTGGGTATAGCTCCCATATATATCTTTATATGATTTCAAATTAATTTTGCACCAAATGGGCAATACAAGTCCGGATTTGAAAGAAACAAATGCTTCGGCATATTTAGTCCTTTGAACTTTAAATTATAATTATAATCATAGCGTGTATGATTGATTTCTTCCATAAAAAGTGCAAAGTGGTGTATGGTATCATAAAGTCGGCCCCTCCCGACTTTAGGACTTTTTTTTACTGGTTTTTAATATAATTCTTATCGAAGTAATTTCAGCCTATAATTTTATTCTGTTCAGGAATATATATAATTGTTGGGGTTCCCGGCTGATTTCGAGGTGTTGCAATTGGTGTGACAAATTTAATATACCCTCCATTGTATGGTAGGGAATATAAAAATAAAACGTGTAAGTCCCTTTTTATATAAGTGGCAATATATGTTGGCACTTTTTTGCTGCATTTTCTTATCGATTTTTTGGTGTTTGCTGTTTTAAAAGGAACTCGCTTAAATATTGAATCCCGGTGCTACTATTTCTAAAGATTTTCTCGTTCAGCATTGTGGAGGGTATCAAGAGATCGCTCCGGTCGAATCGAATGCCTTTTTAGATGTTACATTATAAATATTTGTGGTTTCGTTAAGACCCATCAGTTATCAAACAATTCCAGAATGAATATCCTCCCAAAAACAAAACTAACTAATCAGATGAGGGGTTATGACTCTTTTCGAGACACGGTCTACTTCGCCTTTATCTTGCCAATACCACTTTCTCCAATAAATTAATGACGATGTATGACGATCAAGAATCATGCAGCTGAGCGAATTGCAATTACTTAGCTCCAATTGGTTAAATAAATTAAGCAGCAACGAATTTTGATATTTATATCAACACTCGATTTGCATTTTATGAAAATGCTATTTCTGGTACACACAGGGCATAACGTGTACGCTGTAGTGCTTTTTTGTTTTATGTTTATTTCTCTTTTTTTTACTTTTGTAAGTTTCCCGGGAGCAAGGAATTTTTAAATTGATCTATATCTATAAAAAGGTAAATGTTTGTACGTTTGTTTGTATGTTTGCTTGTTTGTTTGTTTGTAATTTATGTACTCGGAAACCGCTGAACAGATTTTCCTGAAAATTTCCAAGTATACGAAAACATCGCCTGAAAGTAACAAAGGCTATATATATATATTGATCGATTAGAGATGCAATAAATGACGGGATTTGATGAAAAATATATATCTGTTAAAATTTGGATATAGTTCCCATATATATTCTCGGCCGATTTCACATATTTTATGCACTAAACACGGTATGTACCTCCAATTTCAATGAAATATAGAAGGTGTGACGGAATTTGGTGTAAATTTAAATTTTGTCAAATTATATTGAAATCTTTTCAGATTGGAATATGATTTCATTAAGAAGCTTTGACCCACAACACTTTTGCAATGATATAAGGCTAACAGTAAAAAAGTAAAAAAGCTTGAATGCCCTCCACTATTTGGAACGAATTTGGCAATTTTCAAAAAAATAAAATCTGTTAAAAATCATAGGCTGTGGCATACATTACGAACTTCAAATACGACATTTCAAACAATTTCGGTGAGTATTGTACCTAAACTCGTCAAAATACCGAATATAGGGAGGTACTTGTATATGGGGCCTATACGAAGACCTGGACCTGCATAGACAATTTTCCGTCACAGACAGGATTTTCCATTACGAACTCTAAATGCGTAATTTGAAAAAAAATTGGTGAATAAAGACGCTAAAATCACCAAAACACCGAATATAGGGAGGTACCGTCATATGGGGGCTATACGAATACGTGGACATGCACAGACAATTTTCTGTCATAGGCTGTAGTATCCATTTCGAACTTCAAATACTAAATTTGAAACTATTCGGGTGAATAGTGTCACTAAAATCACCGAAATACCGAATATCGGGAGGTACCGTTATATGGGGGCTATACGAAGACGTGGACCTGCACAGACAATTTTCTGTCTTGGACTGTAGTATCCGTTTCGAACTTCAAATACCAAATTTGAAATAGTTTCGTTGAATAGTGTCGCTAAAATCATCAAAATACCGAATATCGGGAGGTACCGTTATATGGGGACTATATGAAAACGTGGAAATACATGGCCCATTTACGAACATAACCTGCCTACTGTAAAAATAAATATGTACAAAATTTTAGCCTTGTATCTCAATTCGTTCCAAACATAGCGTGATTACAACAGGCAGACGGACATACAGATAGACAGACGGACAGACAGACAATTCGTTCCAAACATAGCGTGATTACAACAGACAGACGGACAGACAGACAGACGGAAATCGCTAAATCGACTTAGAATTTTACGCTGATCAAGAATATATATACTTTGTTGGTATACATGAGTATTTCGAGGAGTTACAAACGGAATGACAAAGTTAATATACCCTCCATAGTATGGTGGAGGGTATAAAAATACCGAATGTATACGAAGACGTCAACCTGCACAGACAATCTTTTATCGTAGGCTGTAGTATGCATTACGAACTTCAAATAACAATTTGAAACAATTCTGGCGAATAATGTCTCTAAAATCATCAACGTATCGAATATCGGGAAGTGCCTTTATATGGGGGCTGTACCAAAACGTGAACCTACATTGTCCATTTTCAATACCAAAAGTCCTGCTTCGTTCGGAAGCTAGAGTGATTGCCACAGACTGGCAGACGGATAGACGGACGGACATCGCTAAATCAACATAGAATTTTATGCTGATCAAGAATACATATTCTTTGCTGGGTCTCAAATGTATATTTCGAGGTGTTACAAACGGTATCATTATTTGTTATATAATATAAATCATTATTTTTTCCAACTCTTCTCAAGCTCGGTGCTGTATACCTATTTTGCAAATTATTGTTGCCCTCTCCATTTATAACGTTTTTGAAAAGAGGCTTAATAACCTAACCTAACGTAACTTTGACAATAAATTAATGCAATTTTAATATATTAGAGAACTCAATAGCAATGAAATGTCATCTCGCGATGCTAGCTTTTTTATATTATTTCTTCAATATCTATTTTAGAGTAGTCCAAAATATCGACACACATGTTTAATTTATAAAGCATACATTTTATATAAAGTAAAGTATAAATATAATTTAAGTATTATTAAATATGAAACGAAAATTAAAACAAAAACACTTGATATCTACCTACCATTTTTTGAGAATCCTGTACGGGATTTCTTGCCATTGCCGAAAATGTACACTTCGTGCAATGACCCGGATGCTATAATTTGGTTAAATTGAATTTAATTTGAACAAAATCATTACTACATTGATGTTGTTTAGAAGCAGTTACTGGCACTGCTGGCAACGGTGATGATGGGGATGATGAGGACATGGATGATATTGATGTTGTTGTTGTTGCTGTTGCTGTTGCTGTCGATGACGCTGTTGTTGTTGATGACGACGACGATGATGTTCTATTTAAAATAAATTGATGTTGTTCATCTTGATAATGTTGTTTCGAAGAATCTAAAATTAACGAAGGCATTGCCGGCTTAGAGTTGTTCAAATAATCCTTGAAAATACGACAGGGATTTGAATGTTGTAGATGATAATGCTGTTGTTGTTGCTGCTGGTATTGTGGTACAAGAGTTTCCTGTAGCAGAGGCATAAAAGTCGGCGGCTGATGAGTTTTAAATATATCACCGCCTTCTCTTATAAATTCGTAAGGATGCAGTCTTCTGGCAAAATTTGTAAATTGTTTGGGTCTCATTAAAATCTGCAAAGAAAACGAAATGTTGGGGAATAAAACAAAATGAGGCAAACAAATGTGTTAGGGTAAAAAAAAAAAGAAAAACGACAAGAAGAAGAATAAGAAGAAACACAAAGCACTGAAAACGTAAGGCGAAAATCATAGAAAAAGGATTCTGAGAAAGTGTTGCAACTTTCCTTTTGTCTTAGATAGAACTGCAATTTGTTATGAATTTTACATTTCTTTATTTGAATTTTTCAATTTTTTTCGGTTTTTAATCAGAATTTTTCCGTTTTTTGTTTCAATACACATTTTTTGTTGGTCCTTATCAAATAATATACACATTTAAAGAAAACAATATAATAAAGAGTTTTATACAGTCAAACATGGATAACAATCAATCACAATGGGTGATACAAGGTAATGTAAACATTTTTATAAAAACTCCATATTTTTATATTTATTTGACTTGATTTGCTTCATCGTAGCCTTGTTTGACTGTATATTCCAAATAGATTCAATAGATTTTTTTAAAAATACATACATTTAGGAAAAAATACACACACATACAACATTGAAAACAACATCAAGAGAACAACATCAATATTTATTAGGGTTTTCATTGGTTTTTGTTTTTTTCTTATAACAAAAATTGTTTTGTTTTTGGAATTTTGATTTTTCTTCACACATTTTCTTAATGAAAATCTTGTAAAATTACATTTAATCCTTTTTTTATTTGGCCAATTTATTTATTCGATTATTCGATTTTCATTGTTTATTGAATACAATTTGCTTTGATATTCCCACACAAACAGACAACAACATCGATATTTATAATAAAAGTAATCTTGTATTTGTTATGTAATAATAATAATAGTTTGTAATATGTAATATGGTTAGTAAAATATGCCAACAACAACAACATCAATATATCAAATACACTTAGAAAATATCCATGGCTCGCTGGCAAAAAATCTTTTTTTTTTTTTTTTCTTTTACTTCAAATTGAAAAAAAATAAATAAATACATAAAGGAAATATTATTAATAATTGACACACATCAATGTTTAGTACTTACCTTGGCTTTGGCAAATTTATTATTGAATTACATTTATATATTATATATTTTCAAAGCAATACAATTACAAATATATATTAATAATCGTGCAAGAAATATATACAATTTAAGACATGGTGGTACTACATCTAAAGAGTTGCAACCATATAATTTATAAATATATAAATGTGTAATTTATAAAATAAAATTTAAATTTATAAGAGATTGGATGAACCTGACGCTCTTTGCAACATGAACTAAGATTGGCTTCTGCGGAGACAATTTCACCTCCTGTGCCTAACCGACGGTGATTACTCTTACATAATTTCCTGCAATGATTTATATAAAGATATAAAGGACATATTAAGAAGATGCACAACCACTTCTGAGGTTCCCAATTATTATTTGCTAGTCTACATAATATCTAAAATGGGGTTGTAAAATTTGTAAAGAGTATGAAAATTAATCTTTTAATTCCAAATTTTCTCGTTGTATAAAAATGTATATATTTTTAATTTCGATCACTTGAGGAGTGGTATCCGATGGTTTCCAATTTACCTATATTGGTGTACATATCAATATTAGACAAGTTAAAAAACAGTAAGTTCGGCCGGGCCTAACTTTGAATACCCTCCACCATTTGGATTAAATTTGGAAATTTTCAAAAAATAAAAGTTTTAAAAATATTCTGTTTAAATTTTAAAAATACCGAATATAGCCGTTTTATTGGGGTCTATACGACGTGGACCTACAAAGGCATTGTTTGCCATAAGCCATTACCATATTTAAATTCGATAACTTGAAATATACGGTGAATAATGTAGCTAAAATCATCAAAATAACGTATATAGGGAGGTACCGTCATATCGAAGCTGTGTGAGGCTGTAGCATCCATTACGAAATTTAAATACGAAATCTCAAACAATATCGGTGGGTATTGTACCTAAACTCTTTAAAATACCGAATATAGGGATGTACTGATATATGGGGCCTATACGAAGACGTTGACCTGCACAGTAATTTTTCTGTCTTAGGCTGTACTATCCCTTTGGAACTTCAAATATCAAATTTGAAACAGTTCCGGTGAATAATGTCGCTAGAATCATCAAAATAGCGAATATAGGGAGATACAGTTATATGGGGAATATGGGGAGGTACAGTTGGGGAATATAGGGAGGTACAGTTATACGAAGTCGTGGACCTGCATAGACAATTTTCTCTCTTAGGCTGTAGTATCCATTACGAACTTCAAATACCAAATTTGTAACAATTCCGGTGAATAATGTCGATAAAATCATAAAAATACCGAATATATTATTATATATATAATATAATATATTATTTGGGGGCTATATGAAAACATGGACCTACATGGCCCATTTACGAACTTAACCTGCCTACTCAAAAAATAAACACGTGTGCAAAATTTTAGCCTTTTATCTCAATTCGTTCGAAAGATAGCGTGTTTAAAACAGACAGACGGACATCGCTAAATCGACTTAGAATTTTTTTTTAACGGAATGACAAAGTTAATAGAGGGTATAAAAAGTGAAGAATCTTGGCAACTAAAATCACAAACACGTTTTTCGTTAAAGAATGTCAGAAATAATAGAAACAAGTAAAAAGGCAGCTTTAAGAGCCTCCACACACCAGACCTTGGGTTAATAAAAATATTGTGATATGTGTAATCTGAAGATAATCAGACAAAATTTGGACCAAATCGCATGCTGTTTTCGAGAATTATCGTGCGCACCAGCCATACGGTTGGAACGACGAACATCGTTAGATCGACTTCAAATGTCCTGAATCGGATTGTGTCCAAAGAGACCTAGCGTCTAAAACCGTTATTTTTTGGCCGTATCAAAGGATGTATACCCTCTCTTGCCATGTGGCTTTATTTAATTTTTGATTTTTTGCAACAAGATCGAAAGCTTACTTATTTGAAATGTTTAATAATTTTTCAGTATTATGCATTAAAAACGGGACTCTTTGGACATATATCTAATACAATAAATAATAAATCACAGTTAAACGAAAGCTAATCTTATCACAGAACTATTTCTACATAATCGCAATTGAATATTTTCGTTTCGTTCTTTATTGACCCTCATGCAAAACGTTTTAACGTTCTAGCTTTTATGAATCATTCAATAGCACTATTTAACCTTTTAATACTATTCGTACCCTTAAATACGATTTTAAATGTTTCCGCAGAATTCATTATTTGAAAGTTATAAAAGTTATATTAACGTTCGTTGAATAATAACACCTTTTAATTTTTTACTTTCTAGAACCGATTGTTCAATAACACCACCTTATATTTGTATCAGTTAATCTTCATTTTTAACCAAAAATCTACTCAACTAGTGATCCGATGCATTTCTTCCGCGTTTTTGATCGATTCGGTAGAACAAAAATCCGCACAAATCCGGATTACCAAAGAGCTTCTAGAAGTTTTGAGTTTGATTTTTCCTTTATTTTATTTTAATACATTTTATAACATTGAGAAGAAAACAATATAGATAAATAGTCCTTTATGAAATTTGAGATAATCGGTCCAAATTTACATATAGCTTCTATATATATCCGCCCAATTTGTTTTTTACTGTGTCCAAAAAATGCAATGCTAGCCCGACTAGGGTGAAGCTTAGAACATGCTTCCAAACTATACCTAAAAAATTATATCATATTTTGTGAAAATCGTTTCAGATATTGTTACAGCTTCCATATTTATTTTTTTTCCGATTCGTTATAGTCCACCACAGCCGTAATATTCACTCCATTACAACGATATTCGATATACAGGGTGAGATAAAGAAAACTGCAACAATGTGGTTCTGAAGTATTTGGCGCGTGCTGAGCCCTATTGGACGGCGCTTGAGTTCTGGTGTCCAACCGAAGGTGCATATTTTCAGCTGACCTCTTTGGCAAGTAAACACGATCATTTTGTTTGTTTACAAAATGCTGGACAACGAATATTTTCTTATCGGAGATAACCAAATTCGGCAGTTCACCACTTTCGGCCAAGCGAAGCAACTCTTCAGCTCTTTTTAGTTTATTTTCTTTCCGTTGCAGTTCTTGCACTTATTGAAATTTCAATGGTTCATTTTTCAATATTTGCCGATTGTAACATTGCTATATGTTCAGCTCACGAGCCATTCGGCCACTGCGACGCGGGTTTCGATCAAGTCGCTTCTTTACTTTTCGAATCATTTCTGCTGATGTTACTGTTTTCTTCCGTCCACTTCCTTGGCGTTGAGCTACGCTGCCAGTATCACGGTAACGAACGATGGTACGAGACACAAACTATTTATTCACATTTAAAACCTGCAGTGCTCTAACGACAGCCACTTGTGCTTTTTCAGCCAAATACAAAGAAATTGCACTATCACGCTTGAATTCCACCACGAATAGCTTTTTTTCTGGAAAATTTTCACCAAAATGCTTTTGTACGCTTGTAAACTGCTGTCGGACGAGTGGCTTAGAAATGACAGCAGTCTGAAGTTGCAGTTTTTTCATCTCACCCTGTATCTCACTCTCAATGCCAACTATCCTAGATACAATACAAATTGTTTTACCAAATTTTGAAGCTTTACGTCAAATAATGTGGCCTGTATCGTGATTTCAACAAACAAACAGACTGATATTATTACGAGGGAGTAAAAATTCGTTCCAAATCCCAACATTTTTTATTTATATCACATTTCATAAAAGAATTTTGTAAAAATCGGCACTTTGAGTTTGAAATGTGTGCTAGCTGTAGAACCCATATAAAGGTACTTCCTGATAATCGGTATTTTGACGATTTAGATCACATTTTCTAACAGATTTACTTCTCGATATTCGATACTCTTTTCCACCCTTTTCAGGGGAATCGTTTAAAATGCGGTATGTTGAGTTTGTAATTAAGTCTGTCTTCTATATCAGAAGACTGCCGGAATATATTCATTATTTTTTTTTTATCGCTCACG